GAAGTAGAGGCTGGCCATGACTACGTGGAGAGAGGGGGAAGGAAGGGGGAGGGGCAAGGGGGCAGCTAGAGGCAAGAGAGTAAGAATAGGAGAATAAGAGAGAGAGGAGGGGGCAAGCAGCCCCTTTTATAGTGGGCATGCCTACCTGGCTGTTGCCAGGTAACTGTGGGGAGGAGCATGCCTGGCTGTTGCCAGGTAACTGTGGAGGTGGAGTTTAGACAGAATACTAACACCTGGTGCCCAGGAAGAGTCATCCCCATTGTCCTCACCTCACCAAGCCACAGTTTAGAAAATTAACCTGCCGCGACTTCTTATAGCAAGACAAGAGCTTGTGGACTTGGTTGCTGTCTCTGATTGGAAAAATGCATTATCATTAAAACGAAAACACAGTGCTATTAATCCCCACCGAAGAAAGGAACCAATGGTTCCAAATCAGAAATACTAAAGTAGGTTGGTGCTGGGGCTCTGGAGTCCTTGCTGTAAGAGGGGAGTGCCTTCCTTCTTCTCACAGGTTTACAACGCTCACAGGTTTGTGATAATTCCTCAGCATGGTGTCAACATGTAGCCTCAGCATAGTCAGCCACCAGAATGCCGCCTTCAGAAAACTCTATGTAAATTGTTTTTATATAAGTATAATAAAGAAATTTTGGGTAAGTGTTCATATTATTAAAAGACTTTAAACTCATGGAAATACTATCTGCATGTTTGCTGCTTGTTTTTATCTTTGTATGTGCATGTGTGTCTCTGTATCTGTGTGTGTGTGTGTGTGTACATGTCTGTGTATAATATATGTATGTATGCATTCACATATGTTTGGGTGTGGGTATGCCTGTGCTATAGTTCTCAAATGGAGGTCTGGGGACAGCTGTAGGTATAAGTTCTTACCTTCTCCTTCATTTGAGGCAGTCTCTTTGCTGTTCCCTGAAGCATACACCAGTCTAGCTGTCCCCTGAAGCACACGCCAGGCTAGCTGACCCACTGGAACTTCTGGAACATCCTCAGTCTCTTCTGTTAACCCTGAGATTACACAGTCTCCTTGTATTCATTGTCTGGCTTTACATAGATTCTGGGGATTTGAACTCAGCTCCTCACACTTGTGTGGTAAGCACCTTACCTACTGAGCCATCTTCTCAGCTCCAGATTTTGTGAGGCTGTCTTACTGCATGGCCCAGGATGGTTTTGAACTTCTGCCTCAGCCTCCTGAGTGCTGAGATCACAGCTGTAGATATTAAATAGCTTGGTACATTCACAATTTTCATCATAGGCAGCTTTTCAGAACCAGATGTCCTATGAGGCAAGGTGGACATAGCATACCTGCTTGGGGGCTGCATTGGGTCTGAGTGGGCACACGAGTCCTTCACAGCAATCGACAGTCTATACTTCTGAATGACCACATTGAGTGTACAGTGTCTCTGAATGAAATAGTCTCTCATTCTCCACAAGCTGTTTTTACTCCCTTTTTACCTCCTATCAATACCAGGTAGGCCACAATTCCAAAGGTTCTAGAACCTCTCAGAACACTACTACCAGCTGTAGACCCATTCAAACCCCAACACTTAGTGAACACTAAGAAGGAGTTGCTCATTGGCTCCCCCGTGTGGACACACTATGCAACTGGATTGTGGCAACAATTTAGAGAAGGGACTTTGCTATTGCTAGTATTGTATTTGGATGGGTGGGTAATATTTCTTCCCTGATACCAAGGTATCTGACATCCAATTGATATATATTTAATCAGTGGGGCTTCCAGGAGGTGACACTGTATCAATTGTAGTGGCCCCAGGACTACTTGTGATACAAGCAATCTCATTTTTTATTGCTTCCGTATTGTTTGTTAAAGTATTTTAAAAATGAATTGTTTGTGTGTTGGGGTGGGGGAGGTGGGAGAGAGAAGAGAGACAGAGACAGAGGGCTGTGTAAAGGTGAGTATGTATTTGTGTGCAGATTTGTTTGCCTGTGTGCCTTCTTGTGAGCAGAGGCCAGAAGTCGATATCAGGTTGTATTGCTCTTCACCTAATTTTTGAAATAGGTGCTCTCTCTCTCTCTCTCTCTCTCTCTCTTTCTCTCTCTCTCTTTCTTTCTCTCCCCACTCCCACTGTTTCAGTTAGATTTTCTGGCCAGTCAGCCTGATGTGTCTGTCTCTGCCAGACGTTACAGATGATTATGACCAAGCCCAACTTTTATGTGGGAGTTTCAAATCTGAACCCAGGTTCTTGTGCTTACACTTTACCCACTGAGCCATCTCAGTAGCCTGATGGATTTTGGTTTTGTTTTAGACAGGTTCACACTGTGTAGTCATGACTGGCCATTAGCTCACAGTGATCTACTGGCTTCTGCATCCCCATGTGCTAGGATTCAGGGTATACACTACCTTAACACACTGGTGTTTGTTTTAAAGGGTATATTATCAGGACTTCAGTCAGAAAGGATTGTCTCCAGTTGACAGTTGTGGAGTAGAGTCTTGGAGGAGTTGAGACACATTTCACTCCTGTGGAGGTTGATGGTTAAGGTGCAAATAGAATCCAGTTTTTTAACCCACTCAGTAAACAACAAGGAAGAAGGACTTGTCCTAAGGAGATGCCGAGCCAGCTACCACGAGAGCTGCTGCAAGATTTCTGTGGAAAAGCCTGCTGTAGGAATATTACTTTCTCTGCAGCAGCAGAGCCTGCCATTTAAGGAAGCTTTAATGTAAACATTTGTCTCCTCAAGTTCTTCTGTATGCCCAGGCACGATTCTGTCTTCTATCATAATTATGGTGATGTGGCATTTCATCCATGCTGAATTACTTAGTTTCTGGGCATAGCCTCAACCCTCACAATATATCAGTAAAATGGAAAATTCAGCAGAGCCACTTAGCTGATTAAAAAGCAAGAAGTTTATGAGGAAATTAGGTAATGCAGAGCACACAGCTCTCCAGAAGTCACATAGAAAGTGCTTTCAGAAGTCTGACGATGTGTATAAATCATCAGAGGACGAAGCCGCATCAGAACAGTAGAACAGTGCCTGCCCTTCCCTGCCCTGACCTGTAGGGTATGATACTACAAGGCTTTGTTCCCCAGTGTGAAAATCTTCACCATGTAATGTACTCCTTGGTTTAAACAATGCTGTCTTGTAACAATCTTAATTCAAAGCACAGATAATTATGGAGATAGAAATATTGATTAAAAGGGTGGTGAGAATGGAGCTATAATAAAAGTCTGTTTGAACATCAATTGCCTCTAACTGGCCATCCACACACATTTGGCTCTAACTGGCCATCAACACACATCTGGATGTTTTCAAATGCTCTAAACCGTTTGCCTGGTGACGAGGCTAGAGCTCATACAAGATATGACTTACAGATGTGTAGAGCTGTTGTGCGGTTTCCTTGTGAAGTTCCACCTTTGCTGACCTTTAGGTATTAATTTTTGCTTGCTAGGAGACTGTACTTTTCCATGGCTACTTCATATACCTTTGGATATACATACATACATATGTATGTATATCTGTGTGTATACATATTAGGGTTCTCCACAGTCACAGAACTTATGGAATAAATATGCACAAAGGGAATTTATTGGAATGACCTTACAGGCAAATCTAATAGTTGCTCAGCCCCATGAGTCTGGGTGGTCCAGCTGGTCTGTATAATTTGGAATCCTGAAGAAGTAGGCTCCAACAGATGTGCTGGCAAGGTGAGTGCAAGTAGTCAAAGATGAACACACCAAACCCACCCCCCATTGTCCTTATGCAGGCCTTCAGCAAAAGGTCTGACTCAGATTAAAGGTGAACCTCAAGATCTGGATTAAAGGTGTGTGTCGATCTGGATCAAAAGTATAAGTCATCCCACGTCAAGATCTGTGTCTTCCAGCCTCAAGATCCAGATCACAGGTGTGGCCTCCATTTCTAGATTGTAGTTCATTCCAGATATAGTCAAGTTGACAACCAAGAATAGCATCACATGTATGTATTGTAACACACACACACACACACACACACACACACACACACACACACACACTTAAACTTTTCCCAGCACTAAGGCTTGAACCTGGAGCAGTTAAGTAGGGCACTATTCTAGTCAAGGCTATGGTCTAAAGGGCTTTCAAAAGTTTGATGTATTTATTATAGTTTAGGAAAGTGGGTATTCTGTGAAAATGCTGAACTGGAGGTCTACCTTCTGCTTTGCATTGCTAACTCACTTAATTAGCAATTCAAGTGTATTTGTTATCCTCTTAATTATAATTATAAGACCCGTGGGCAGAGACGGTGTCTACCGCCGCTGGAATGATGCGATGGTGTTTGAAGGAAGGGTCTTGGAAGGTGTGAAGGCAGCGTCCTGGATGGGAATAGTGCCTTTATAAAAGGCTCCAGAAAACTGTCTTCCTTCTTACGCCTGATGAGAAATAGTGAGAAACTGGCCATTTAAATACCAGGCTCTCATTGGACATCCAATCTATAGACACTTAAGTCTCTGCAACTGTGAAAAATCAACTTCTATTGTTTTAAACCACCCAGAACTAGATAACATCCTGCCATCACAGCCAGGATGGACCCAGGCATGCCTTGGACTATATATCAAATGTGGTGAGGAAACTAGAAACAAGCTTTTTAAATACTTAA